TTATGATGTAACCGCTTAAGACGTGTCTATAGAAATTGATGGCATGCTTAAAAATCCCTAAGATTACAGAAAGGGGTGGTGACCTCCATGTACTGTACATGCACAGCGGAGTTCCACCCAAAAGGGGACGTTCTGCTTTAATGCTTTGTCCCCCGCTCCCCATTAAGGATTGGTATCTTTGGGGAGCGGGGTGGGAGGGGGTACTCGAATTTGACAAGTACCCGCTCCCAATTCGCTGCGATTGCCTAGGCGATCAGAAGCAGAAGTTTTCCTCCCTTCCCGTAGTCTTCTGGGGCACATGACAGGTCCCAGAAGACTACGGGGCAATTCACAAAGCGCAGCATGCGCAGTGGGCACCCGGCTATGAAGCTGCAAGCTGTCACAGCCGGGTGCCCACACTGAAGATGCCGGCGCCAGGAAGAGAAGATGGCCGGTGAAAACAGCGGTGGTGAGGACAATGCCGGACCGAGGGACAAGCAAGGGACTGTATTTTAAAAGTCAGCAGCTACAGTTTTTGTAGCTGCAGACTTTTTTTTTTTTTCCAGCTGGAACTCTGCTTTAAGGAAGCGATGGAGTGATTTAGCTGTGGGCCAAGTTGACTTTGTTAGTATTTTGAATTTAATTTGTTGGGTGAGCGGAAGCCAATGGAGGATTGGCAGAAAGAGGTGGAGGACACTGAGTAGACGGATTGGCAGCGAGGGGTGGAGGACACTGAGTGGAGGGATTGGCAGCGAGGGGGTGGAGGACACTGAGTGAGTGGCAGCGAGGGGTGGGGATTGGAGGCAGTGGAGGGATTGGCAGCGAGGGGTGGAGGACACTGAGTGGACGGATTGGCAGCGAGGGGTGGAGGACACTGAGTGGAGGGATTGGCAGCGAGGGGTGGAGGGACTAGGTCAGTGAGGGTGGAGGCCTGAGTGGAGGGATTGGCAGAGAGGGGTGGAGGTCAGTGAAGGGATTGGCAGAGAGTGGTAACAGACACTGAACAGTTGGTAAGGTGGATGAGCCTGGCAGTAGCATTCGTGATGGACTGGCGGAAGGATAGCCTATGGAAAGGTCATCCAATGAGGAGGGAGTTGTAGTAGTCGAGGCGAGAGATAACCAGGGAGTGAATTAGGAGCTTTGCGGTGTCATTGGGTTGAAAAGGGGCGTATTCTGGAGATGTTGCGGAGGTTGAGGCATCAATGTTTGGACAGGGGTTGGATATGGGCCTGACAGGACATTCACAGTCCAGGGTTACCCCTAGTACGCTGGCATGCTGGGAGAGACTGATAGTTGTGGCAGAAGTCAGGGGAATGGGCAAGCGGGGGAGGAAATATTTTAGTTTTGGATAGACTGAGTTCATTCCTTTTAATCTACATCACATGTGGTGACACCCACCCTGACCTCCTTCTAGTGTGTAATTCGCCTCTCCAAACACTCAACACCAAGCACCCTCACACGCTCCGCATCCTGCACACCCAGCACCCTCGCACACCCAGAACCCTCACACACTCAGCATCTTGTACACCTAGCACCCTCGCACACTCAGCAGCATTCTTTACACTTAGCACTCTCTTACCCAGCACCCTGCACACCCTGCACCTCATGCACCCCTCGCACACCCAGCACCCCACACACCCAGAACCCTCGCACACCCAGAACCCTCGCACACCCAGAACCCTTACACACTCAGCATCTTGTACACCTAGCACCCTCGCACACACCAGAACCCTCGCACACCTAGCACCCTCGCACACTCAGCATTCTTACACTTAGCACTCTCTTACACCCAGCACCCTCGCACACCCTGCCCTTATGCACCCTCGCACACCCAGAACCCTCACACACTAAGCATCTTGCACACCTAGCACACTTGCACACTCAGCACCATCTTACACCCAGCACCCTACACACACCCTTGCACACTCAGTACACTCAGCACCTTGCACACTCAGCACCCTACACACCCTTGCACACTCAGCACCCTGCACACCCAGCACCCTCATGCACCCTCGCACACCCAGAACCCTCACACACTAAGCAGGAAGAGCCAGGAACGCCGTGACGTCACGCTGCCGGAGCATCGTGGAGCTCCCGGCGGCCATCTTTACCATTGGACGGTCAGTCCGTTGTTTTTATACACCGCTGTGTACCTTGGATGCTTTATTTGGTAATAAAACCCTTTATAATCACCTACTACACTATGGAGGCGTCCTTGTTTTGACTCCCTTGGGGAGTATTCATTTGCAGTCATCGCTGGGTAAGGAACGTATGTGATCTTCAAGGAGAAGTCCATAGCCACCTACCAAGGGATCACACAGAAACATCCAGGAGCTCTTGAGGGAGGCTAGCATACTACCCTATCCTGACCAGCTGATGTCCCTGAGGGGAACACATATTAACAAAACGCTCACTTTCCTGGGCGTTCTGGTGAGTGTGCATTCTTTCAGCACTTTTTTGCACAAACGCCTGAGCACCAGGAGTGCAGAACAACAGAGAGGAGAACACTAAAAGTCACCCTATTTTATGAACATCACGTTTGTTCAGTCATTTATTCACATGAATCATCTATTTGTCTTCATTGAGTATCTTGGTTTTGTAGCGCTGCATGTTTGATTTATGATATTTTAAAGGTGTATGGTTACCTGATGTACAGCTGCTGCAAATAGGTGCGCTCGTATACACATTTTTCTTTAGCATCTTGCACACCTAGCACACTCAGCACCCTCGCACACTCAGCACCCTCGCACACTCAGCACCTTGCACACCCAGCGCCCTCATGCACCCTCGCACACCCAGAACCCTCACACACTCAGCATCTTGCACACCTAGCACCCTTGCACACTCAGCATTCTACACACTTAGCACTCTCGCACATCCAGCATCCTTGCACACCGAGCACCCACACACACTCAGCACACTCAGCATCTTGCACACCCAGCACACTGCACCCTCAGCATCCTCGCACACTCAGCACCCTCCACTCCTAGCACTCTCCTCACCCAGCACCCTCGCACACCCAGCTTCCTGCACAATGAGCACCCCACAACCCTGCACACTCAGCATTCTGCACACTTAGCACCCTCCACACCTAGCACTCTCCTCACCCAGCACCCCCACACACCCAGCTTCCTGCACACTCAGCACCCCGCAACCCTGCACACCCAGCATTCTGCACACTTAGCACCCTCGCACACCCAGCATTCTGCACACTCAGCATCTTGCACACCCAGCACCCTCGCACACTCAGCATTCTGCACAATTAGCACCCTCGCACACCCAGCACCCTGCACACTCAGCATTCTGCACACTTAGCACCCTTGCACACTCAGCATTCTGCACACTCAGCATCTTGCACACCCAGCACCCTCGCACACTTAGCATTTTGCACACCTAGCACCCTCGCACTCTCAGCATCTTGCACACCCAGCTTCCTGCACACATTAGCACCCCGCAACCTTGCACACTCAGCACCCTGCACACTCAGCACCCTGCACACTCAGCACCCTGCACACTCAGCACCCTGCACACTCAGCACCCTGCACACTCTGCACCCTGCACACTCTGCACCCTGCACACTCTGCACCCTGCACACTCTGCACCCTGCACACTCGCACCCTGCACACTCTGCACCCTGCACACTCCGCACCCTGCACACTCTGCACCCTGCACACTCTGCACCCTGCACACTCTGCACCCTGCACACTCAGCACCCTGCACACTCTGCACCCTGCACACTCTGCACCCTGCACACTCAGCACCCTGCACACTCAGCACCCTGCACCCTGCACACTCCGCACCCTGCACACTCCGCACCCTGCACACTCCGCACCCTGCACACTCAGCACCCTGCACACTCAGCACCCTGCACACTCCGCACCCTGCACACTCCGCACCCTGCACACTCCGCACCCCTGCACACTCTCGCACCCTGCACACTCCGCACCCTGCACACTCAGCACCCTGCACACTCAGCACCCTGCACACTCAGCACGCACCCTGCACACTCCGCACCCTGCACACTCTGCACCCTGCACACTCTGCACCCTGCACACTCTGCACCCTGCACACTCAGCACCCTGCACACTCAGCACCTGCACACTGCACACTCAGCACCCTGCACACTCCGCACCCTGCACACTCGCATTTGTACTGTCTGACGGTACAGCCAACTTCATGAATACGTTGGCTGAATAGAAGAGAAATGTAGTGGTTTTGCAGGTCTATGTACAGTAAGTGATGTGAATGGTGTATTTGTGTTTGCCCGGGGCAGTCACTCTAATGTTGGCGATAAAGGAGTAATACTTCATTTGGATGTCACGGGCTGCAGTGCCGGTCTTTTCCTCTCCGGCAATAAACAAAGCGGAGCTCGGAAGCAGCAGGAGCCCTGCGGAAGGCTGCACACAGATTTAATTTTTCCTGCTCTGTTCTTGGAATGTTCGGCGGCCAAACTGCCTTTAACTATGCTAATAAACAGCCAATAATTCCAGCCTGGCAGCCGGACGGCGAGCCGATAAATAACAAAGCCTCGTCCTCCGATCCCGAGCCCCTGGCACCTCAGAAAAAAAAGTTTTAATAACACGGCCGTCTCAATTTCCTCCAAATGAAGCCGCTGGTAGTGCAGGAGGACAGCGAGCCGCTACATCTGTTTTAGGATTTTTTTTTTCTCTAGCAGCTTTGTTATTCCGCACCTATTGTTAGTGGTCCAGCGCTGACCTTATACAGAAGACAGACGGTCTTTATGAATGTTTTTTTGGTTGACTTTTGTAAATGTTCTCTCAGACGGATGAGAAAAATGTTAGGCTGCGTATTGTATTGATGACATTTTAGGGTTTGAAAACATTAAATCTGACCTCCGGCCTCCCCTTCAGTCTTGTACAGGTGTACCGGCTCCTCCCCTTCAGTCTTGTACAGGTGTACCGGCTCCTCCCCTTCAGTCTTGTACAGGTGTACCGGCTCCTCTTCAGTCATGTACAGGTGTACCGGCTCCTCCCCTTCAGTCATGTACAGGTGTACCGGCTCCTCCCCTTAAGTCATGTACAGGTGTACCGGCTCCTCCCCTTCAGTCATGTACAGGTGTACCGGCTCCTCCCCTTCAGTCTTGTACAGGTGTACCGGCTCCTCCCCTTCAGTCTTGTACAGGTGTACCTGCTCCTCCCCTTCAGTCTTGTACAGGTGTACCTGCTCCTCCCCTTCAGTCTTGTACAGGTGTACCTGCTCCTTCCCTTCAGTCTTGTACAGGTGTATCGGCTCCTCCCCCCTTGCACAGGTGTACCTGCTCCTCCCCTTCAGTCTTGCACAGGTGTACCGGCTCCTCCCCTTCAGTCTTGCACAGGTGTACCGGCTCCTCCCCTTCAGTCTTGCACAGGTGTACCGGCTCCTCCCCTTCAGTCTTGCACAGGTGTACCGGCTCCTCCCCAGTCTTGCACACAGGTGTACCGGCTCCTCCCCTTCAGTCTTGCACAGGTGTACCGGCTCCTCCCCTTCAGTCTTGCACAGGTGTACCGGCTCCTCCCCTTCAGTCTTGCACAGGTGTACCGGCTCCTCCCCTTCAGTCTTGCACAGGTGTACCTGCTCCTCCCCTTCAGTCTTGCACAGGTGTACCGGCTCCTCCCCTCCAGTCTTGCACAGGTGTACCGGCTCCTCCCCTTCAGTCTTGCACAGGTGTACCGGCTCCTCCCCTTCAGTCTTGCACAGGTGTACCGGCTCCTCCCCTTCAGTCTTGCACAGGTGTACCGGCTCCTCCCCTTCAGCCTTGCACAGGTGTACCGGCTCCTCCCCTTCAGCCTTGCACAGGTGTACCGGCTCCTCCCCTTCAGCCTTGCACAGGGTGTACCTGCTCCTCCCCTTCAGCCTTGCACAGGTGTACCGCTCCTCCCCTTCAGCCTTGCACAGGTGTACCGGCTCCTCCCCTTCAGCCTTGCACAGGTGTGTCGGCTCCTCCCCTTAAGTCTGGCACAGGTGTACCGGCTCCTCCCCTTCAGTCTTGCACAGGTGTTCCGGCTCCTCCCCTCCAGTCTTGCACAGGTGTACCGGCTCCTCCCCTCCAGTCTTGCACAGGTGTATCGGCTCCTCCCCTCCAGTCTTGCACAGGTGTACCGGCTCTTCCCCTTCAGTCTTGCACAGGTTTTCTGGCTCCTCCCCTCCAGTCTTGCACAGGTGTACCGGCTCCTCCCCTGGACAGAAATGGCTTCCTCTGATGTCTCTGCACACTGTGAGCTCCTCACAATGTGCATTAGAATCTACAACAATTCAGATAGAGCCTTGCCTCATTTCCTGGCTGGAGGACGTCCATCATCATCTAGCACTTTCCAGCCCAGCCTGACTGTCCCTGTCACTCATTGGATTTCAGTACTTTCAATCACGGAGGCTCAGCATCACATGTGCGTGGTACACAGGATCACATGTGCGTGGTATACAGGGCATGAAAAATGCATTCTGCTTAGATCCGCCTACTCTACCTCATATCTACCCAGAAGGACATTTTGAGATTTGCTAGACTGCTAGAGCCAGGCGCTTCAGGGTTGAGGTCTCCTGAAAAGAGGACTGAGACATGGTGCTGTGATGATTTCAGGAAGCAATGTACAGCACCCTTGTCGGCCCCTCTCACCAGTTTTGATCTGCCTACATTGCATAGAGTAGCACAGAGTCCAAGTGAAGACATTATTTAGTCTAAGGCTCCATGCATGCTAACATTCTTTTTAAGCTCAAAAAACGCTGGTAATAGTTTTTTTTTTTGTTTGTAGCGTTTAGGAGCATTAGCGTTTTATTTATTTATTTCAGGTACTTATATATCACCATCAATTTACGCCGCGCTTTACATATATATTGTACATTCACATCAGTCCCTAACCCTCAAGGGGCGTACAATCTAAGGTCCCTAACCCTCAAGGGGCGTACAATCTAAGGTCCCTAACCCTCAAGGGGCGTACAATCTAAGGTCCCTAACCCTCAAGGGGCGTACAATCTAAGGTCCCTAACCCTCAAGGGGCGTACAATCCAAGGTCCCTAACCCTCAAGGGGCGTACAATCTAAGGTCCCTGACCCTCAAGGGGCGTACAATCTAAGGTCCCTAACCCTCAAGGGGTGTACAATCTAAGGTCCCTAACCCTCAAGGGGCGTACGATCTAAGGTCCCTAACCCTCAAGGGGGGCGTACGATCTAAGGTCCCTAACCCTCAAGGGGCGTACGATCTAAGGTCCCTAACCCTCAAGGGGCGTACAATCTTAGGTCCCTAACCCTCAAGGGGAGTACAATCTTAGGTCCCTAACCCTCAAGGGGAGTACAATCTTAGGTCCCTAACCCTCAAGGGGCGTACAATCTAAGGTCCCTAACCCTCAAGGGGCGTACAATCTAAGGTCCCTAACCCTCAAGGTGTGTACAATCTAAGGTCCCTAACCCTCAAGGGGCATACAATCTAAGGTCTCTAACTCCATTCATACATACACATACTAGGGACAATGTAGACAGGAGCTAATTAACCTACCAGCATATCTTTGCAGTGTGGGAGGAAACCGGAGTACCCGGAGGAAACCCACACAGTCACAGGGAGAACATGCAAACTCCAGGCAGGTGGTGCCTTGGTTGGGATTCGAACCAGCGACCCTAGTACTGCCACTGAGTGTAATATGAGACCTGTGGACAGGGATCTGTCTTCACGCACTGCACTCAGAGAGCAGAGACTGAGTGTAATCTGAGACCTGCTGATCTGTCTTCACGTACTGCACATCAGAGAGCAGAGAGCTGAGTGTAATCTGAGACGCAAGTGGAAGGAATGGCACAACCTCTATACACAGTCTCATAAGGAAACCTGCACAGCTGAGGCTGTCAGTCACCTGAGAAGAATCGGTGGGGGGGGGACATGTCCCGGAATTGTCAGGCATCGGAAGTGACTCTTCAGATAGCAGAGGGATGACAGACAAGACAGAAATCAGACTGTGCTTTGGATTGAGGCAAGTACACGCTATACAGGGATGTGCTCTGTTCATTATATATGTATCAGAGGTTTGACACCACTTTACAGTACTTACAGTAATATAGGAGAGGTGTATACTGTATTTTTATCCATGCTAAAAGTTTTGAATCCACATCCTTGTGTATAAAGGAATCTCCTGGAATGGCAGGTTGGGTGTGCTGTGCTTTTCATTGTCTCCCCATGTGTTTGGCATGTGTGACATTTCACAGCAGGATGCATTAATAAACACAGATTTGTTTCCCTACCAAATGGGCGTGGTTTGCTGCGTGCCATAGTATTCACCACTGCACTTCGTTATTGCTTTCTGTGTGCTGTTTGCTCTTAAACTTTAATAAAAAAAAACATTTTGAAACAAAAAACACATTTGTGTAACCCCTTGATGCCGACGTCACACAAATACGCGGCCTCACAGAACGGGGCTTTTCTCTATGGGGGCCGCATATTTGCGTACCTGTCTTTTTGCTAGGAGTGCGCTGCACGGCGCACTCTCAGCACAAAGACCTGAGTGTCACTGAGAGCAATCGGGTCCCATTCTGAGGATTGGGACCCGGGATTCCCAATTCTGGGTCCTGGGATTCCCGGTCCCGGGGGAACTCTCGATTCCGGGTCCCGGGGGAACTCTCGATTCCGGGACTCTCGATTCCGGGTCCCGGGGGGACTCTCGATTCCGGGTCCCGGGGGGACTCTCGATTCCGGGTCCCCAGGGGGGGACTCTCGATTCCGGGTCCCGGGGGGACCTCTCGATTCCGGGTCCCGGGGGACCTCTCGATTCCGGGTCCCGGGGGACCTCTCGATTCCGGGTCCCAGGGGACCTCTCGATTCCGGGTCCCGGGGGACCTCTCGATTCCAGGTCCCGGGGGACCTCTCAATTCCAGGTCCCGGGGGACCTCTCAATTCCAGGTCTCGGGGGACCTCTCAATTCCAGGTCTCGGGGGACTCTCGATTCCGGGTCACATAATCCCTGTGATAGCCTCTGATTAGCTATCACAGTGATCAGTCGCTGTACAGCCCGGCCCCCTTGTTTTTTTTTCTCTCTAGGAATGGAGGAGAGAGATATATTGTATCTCTCTTACTCCTGGCATAGAGGGAAGAAAAAAATGTTTGTAAAAAAAAAAAAAAAGATAAATATTAAAAAATACCTAGATCAAGGTATGATCTAGTTCAGCACCAGGGTTAGTATTTGGGTTAAGGTCAGGGTCAAAGGTCAGGATTTAAAAAAAAAAAATTGGTGTCAGTGTGTTTTAGGTAAAAAAAAAAATACAGAATGCACACTATTGTTTCTGGGCTGTACTCCGGGTACAAATAACAAATAACATACACATATATGGTATCGCTGAGATCGTCAAGAGCTGGAGAATTTATTTTGGGTTGTTCTTTGGTGGTAGGTTATGAAAGTAACAAGAAACACACAGCTAAATAAAAAAAAAAAATTTTTTTTCACTATTTTGGGCCAGTTTTGCTTTGATAATTAAAAAAAAAAATCAGGAGATATCCATTACCATTTACCACCAAATGAAAGCCCAATTTGTCCTGAAATAAAACGCGGAATAATCCACCCGGATGTACAAAGTAGTTGTGATGATACAGACGATTTTACTAACACAGGTCAACGTTGCAAAATTGTGCTTAGGCATTTAGATTTGTTTTACCCTTAGGCGTGAAGGGGTTAAATTCTTCTACATTGCTATGGGAAAGGGAAAAGGCCGATTTTACAATACGGAGCAGAAAAGCTTGGAAAATATTTATCACCGGCTACACAGATGATGATCCCCTTATGACGGGTCACCTTTTATGACCAGAGTTTCTGCAGCTGACCCAGCAGAGTTCTTGTCAGTCCAACCGCCGTCACTTTCAATGGAGAGCTTAGCCTGTCATCAAAGAAAACTATAAATTGGGGAAAACCGACATGGAAAATAAAATTAAATAAAAAGGAATTAATTTCTTAAATACTATTGTGACATGTATTAACCACTTGTGCTCCACAAGATTTTACCCCCTTCATGACCGGGCCATTTATTGCTATACAGCACTGTGCTACTTTAAGGCTCCATGTACACGGGGCGTTTGGAAAACACTTCTGAACGATGGAAACTACTGTAGGTTAAAAAAACGTCGGTTTAGCTGCATTTATGTGTGTTTGCGCTTAGAAGCGTTTTTTAAAGATAACATCAGGAGACCCTCCAAAATGCCCAGAATGCACTGAAAAACAGTAAAAAGTTAACTATTTTAGACATTTTGAGAGAAATAGAGAGAGCAGAAGCAGAGAGAGCAGTATGTGTGGAGATGACCTGTCTTTTCTGGTTGTATTCACTATGGATCCCATCATGACATAATGCGGCGCGTTCTACCATTTTTTCCTTTACGCAAAAACCTGGAACTGACTGCGCCGGTGTACCGGGTCCATTTGAATACATGGAAAACACTTTGCATGCATTTCTGATGATGAAAAAAGGTTCCGTACAGCATCTGGATATGGAACAGTTAAAAAACGCTTCTAAACGCAAACACTTATAAACGCGGTTAGCCTCGTTTACAAGCGTTTGAAACGCTGATAAAATCTACTCCTGAACACAAGTTTGGTGCGTTCCAAAAAAACGACTGTAAACTCAACTTCCTGTAAATGAAGATGTGTACAGGGACACATAGGAAAACATTAGGGAGAGTTCAGGGGCTGCTCTCATTAACATATCTTTTGTTTCCAAGGGTGGGGAGGTCT